TGCTGGCAGTCGAGGCTGCCCGCGTACAGGCTGAAGAGGCAGCAGCAGCAGAGAAGCTGCGGCTACAGGCCGATGCAGACGCAGATTCCTAGGCTCGCCGCAAGGAAGCCCAGGATCTGCTACAGCGGCATGAAGCCACAAGCATCGACAGACTCAAATTCTGGCATTTTGAACCGAACGGCGACGAGGCAACACGGAAGAGCAGCATAAGGAGTTCCTCTCCAAACTCGTGACACGGTTGCTGTATGCTTGCAACTACCAACGGTCACAGTTGGAGAGACAATACCAGGACCTGACTAACAGCATTAGGAGTTGGCGACGCTCCGCCGCACAGTGCAGAGCCACGAGGATGCAACTCGGGCACTCAATGCCCGATTGCTGGACATGGAACAGGCTGTACCAGGACCAACTGCTCGGGCTTCCAGCAGTGCACCCTCTAGCCGCCAACTGGAGGAACGCGTTGACCACATCCTGGCAATGCTCGGCAACATTAACACCTTCGCTGCACCGTCCACCATCAGCACTCAGCTGCATACCTTGAAGACCGAGGTCCAACAGCTGCAGTCGACGAACGCAGATGGCAATCAGAAGATGCCAACTTTCCAACTGGAAAAGTTCGACGACTACACGCAGCAGGATCCGACCCTCTGGTGGGAGGCATTCACGACGCAACTCAGGATTCTGCCTGTCGCTAAGCACAAGTACATAGGCGCCTTGTTCCTGAACTCAAAGGGCGGATGCCAGACCTGGTTGACCCACCTGGCAACCTCCCACGGCGTCGACGTACCGGACCTCAAGGACAAGATCACATGGGAAGAACTGACACGGCTGTGGAAGAAGCGGTTCATCGTCGACGACGCGCGGACACTCGCCATCAACCGTTTGTTCACCATGTCACAGGGCAACACTGCAACACGAGATTGGCTCACAGAGTGGCAGAAGATTGCGGCAGTGCCCAATCTGGACCTGCCTTTCACTCATCTCAGGCGTGAGTTCTACAACAAGTCCTGTGCTGCATTGAGCCAGGCTGTTGGTGATCGCGAGCAGTACGCCACCTTCGCCGAGATTATCGACAAGGCGCGAGAGATCATCAAGACCAACAGGTCAGCTGCATACGAGAAATCAACATCATGGCAGCCGACCTATGTGGAGAAGGTACGAACCGGTCCGCGACACCAGCACTTCGCTGCAGTCCAGCAGCCACTCCAGCATCAAGTGATGGAGATCAGGTGGCTGCTGTCCAGCCGCGAAGCACCAACAAGTCCCGCAACAATGGGAAGGCGAAATCCGCATTGCAGGCCGGAAATGGACAGCCAGGACAGTTTCCATGGGTCAAGTTTGGCTTGACCGAGGTGGAGTACAAAGTCCGCGGCCGCTACGGCAGCTGCTATTGGTGCAACAGCACCAAGCACAAG